GAAAGGGGATGAAATTCCTGCCAGTGACCCTCGGGGAGCTCCAATGATGAGAGTATCTGGGGTTGGGTGCCAGACAAAACATCGCGCTGCTTCACTTCTGCAGATGGATTTGGAGCACAGAGCAGTATCCCAGGAAGTGACACCTTCTTGGAATGAGACTTTGCAAAGGGACAACCATCACAGTCTCCAGCCACTGGTTTATTCCACAGCGCAAAATTTCCCAAAGGAAAAAAAACAGGTATGTGTACATTGTGGCCTTGGAGGAGTTTGATCTGTTTGGCTCTTACTGGGGAAGGGGTTTGGTGGGATTTTTGGTGTCATGTTCTTTGTGGTTTTTTACATAATACCACTTAGCACTGTTAATACTACTGCTCATTAGTGAGCACTCTGTTATTTCCTAGGAGTAAAGAGCTAGAGAAGCTTTCTCAACAAAATCATAAAAGGGGCACTAGAAAAAGTTGATATGGAAGAGCTGTACTTGATCAACTTTTATGGAAAGGAGACAGGAAAAAATGTGTCACCTGAAGACACATGCTGCTTTTTTGAAATTGCTGTCTGGCTTTATTATAGAATCATAGAATGGTTTGGGATGAAAGGGACTTTAAAGGTCACCCAGTTCTAACCCCCTGCCACAGGCAGGGACACATTCTACCAGGACAGGTTGCTTAAAGCCCCATCCAACCTGGGCTTGAACACTTCCAGGGATGGTGCATTCACAATGCTCCTGAGCAACCTGTGCCAATGCCTCACCACCCTCACAGTAAAGAATTTCTTCACAATATCTAATCCAAAACTGCCTTCAGTCAGTTTAAAGCCATTTCCTGTGCATCTGTCACTGCATCAAAAATCTCTCTCCTAGCTCTCTTTTAGGCCCCCTTTAGGTACTTGAAGACTGCTATAGGGTACTCTAAACATTTTGCCAAAACTCATTGATTTTTGAAAAATGCCAGTAAAGGGCTTTTTAGTTATTTTGACCCCTTGAGAACATCCTGATAGTATTTTTCCCATGCCTCTACCTTAGAGTAAATGAAAACCCATAAGCCCTTTTAAGAGTCTCATCAAGCAATTTTTGGAGCCTCACAGGGTCCCAACCACCTCCTTCTTGCACGTTAGAGCACCTGACTGTAGGCTGAAAAGGATATTCACCAGAACCTGTCAGTGAGGTAGCAAATGTAGAGAACAGCTCTTCAGGAGAAAGGGGGGAGCTGAGGACACCTGATGGAGTCCCTGCCTGTGTCGCAGTCATGGGTCAACCTGCCACGAGAGCTCAAAAAAGATAAAAGGAGGGAGAGTAACTAAAATCCCCTCAATATAGTCCTGCTCATTCTGTGTCAATGTTTTCCACAGGCTTAGGAGTCTGATTCAGCAGCCTATGCAAGAAGGACTGATGACCAGCCTGACACACCATGCTTGCCCCATTCTTTCTCTGTGGGACATTTGAAAAAAGGATTTATCTAATCCCTTCCTACAACAAAATATTAAGAATATTTTCCTCCAGCCCTTTATACACCACCTGCTGTGCCCTGCATTAGGACTTTACCTGAGGCCATAAGATGCCTCTGCTCAAAAAGGGGCATTGCTGGGGCAAGTGAAAAGCAGCCATCACCTTCCTGCTCACCTGAAACATATGCACGCACACAGAGTGAGGTCCACCCCTCTCAGCCCTTCAGTGAGACAACACTTCATCTCCCAGTCTCCTGAATCTGTAGGCTGGTTATTTCAGCTGCACCACCAAGTCTGGCAGCCAAGCCCTTTCCCTGGTCTTTCAAGCTACTCAGCAAGGGCCAACACTGCCTAGAGAGGATCTTCTAGAAACCAAGGACTAGCACTGGGTAAAGATAAAGCCCTAGCCTTGCTAGGGGGAGGAAGTTTTTAAAGGAGGGAGAAATGGGGAGGAGGTTTTAGAAGCATCTGGTGGGAAAAAAATCAACACGTTGCAATCTGCTTATTTGTTCACTGCAGCCAGGGAGGGAGCAGCCACAGGATTGCTCTCTCATACTGCAGGAACAAGGTCCCCAAAGCAATCCTCAAGGAGGAAAGCACAAGAGAGGGCCTCTTAATACAACATTCAACTCATATCTGCAAAACCAGCCCTTGTTTGCTTAATAACAGATGGTTGCCAGTTAATTTTGAGCAACAAAAGAGTCTAACTCTATTGCCCAACAGAAGGAGCTGGAGGAGGGCTGACTTTTCCATCTCTCTCTTCACATTTCCAAATCCAGGAGCAAGGATGATTATGACTGCTGATCTGAATATGATTGCTCTGGTCCTAAGCATCTCTCACTAGAGCAGCAAGAGTTGTCTGCTCAGACTGTGAGATCACACACTCGTGGCCTCTGGGTATTGTAGGTGCCTGGCCAAGTTGTGCTGTGCCTCTGCTCCCACACAGCCTGGCTGTTTCAGGAATGCTGGTATGCCTAGAGCCCTGCAGTGCTATTTGACCCTCTGAGCCAAGTCTGCCTTGTGCCTGGAATGGGGCCATCACCTTACACAAAGTCTAATTTTTAGGAAATGGCACTCAAGCCAGGGATGAAAAGGCTGCAGAGAGAAAATCAGAATTACAGGTACCTCACACCAGAAGAGTCTCTGGGGTTTGGAAATAGAGTACTGCAAACTATTCCAGACACTAAAAGTGATTTCAGACCCGTGTGTTTGCCAAGCAGTGACCACCTTGAACAGGAATGAAAGCACACAAAGAAAACCAAATCCTAGCCTTAAGGAATCTGAGTCCCTAGAGGAAAATGGTGGGATAAAGGTCTCCCACAAGGGCTCAGTAGATTTTATACCCACTTTGCTCTGGTATGAATAATTTTCAACAGTTGCAACTGGTGAACAAGGTAAAATGCCCAGTACCCCTTGGTGAAAACTGGGGGGAAAATATAACCTATAACCTATCCCCTGCTTATAACACATGGGATATTGAGTCTGCCTGTCTCCAACACCTGTCCAGCTTGCTCATCTCTCCAGGTAATGCACTTCAGAGGCCTGGCCATGTGTGACACTGCTGGATCTCCCAGGCACTGGAGTCAGGAACAAGGGCTCTTGGACTAAGAACAGTATCCGATGTCAACACCCCCACCACTGCAACACCTGACTTTCCAAGAGGTGTGAGAGCAGATTTTCAAGCAAGATGCTGGGGAGCAGCAAGAAGAGTCCAAGGCAGCAACTTGCTCTCAACCTGGCAGAGTGTGCCAGTTGCTAGGTGAGCTCAGGAAAAATCTGGTCCCTGTAGCTGTTGGGTTGGCATTGATGGCACAGGAAAAAGCATGGCATTTCTGAGGAAGAGGACAGCTGGCTTTGTGGGCAAACCTGCTCTGCCTGGAGCTTCATTTCTGCCTGCAGACAGGTCCTGCATGGCCCTCCTCAATCACCTGTGGATGCCAGTGCCTTAAACCCCTGTGAAAAGTTTTACCATGAGCTGAGCACTGGGTAAGACGTGCTGGCCTGAGAAATACCTTCGGTGCAAGGCTGAATGGTCGCAAGCTTCTGTGACTGTCGAGTCCCACCCTTGCTGCAGTGGGAAAACACCATCCCACAGAGAACAGTCTTGGGACCTACAAGTGGATTCTGGGCTGTTGGCTGAAAAAACACCACAACACTTGCCCAGCACTGGCTGCACACCCATAGTGCCAACACAGATCAGAGTTATGGCACAGGAGAGCTCATCACCTCCACAGCAGACAGAAAGCCACCTGCTGAACATCCATTCCTCTCCAACACATGGCCTGGGTCTCTCAGCTCCCACCTGCAAGAAAATATGGGGGTTTTTAATTAAGGTAGCTGGGGTATCAGCCAGGAAGAGAGATGCATTTGGACATCCTTGGGTTGAGGAGAGATGTGGAATTGAGTCTCTCCTTTGCAGGTCAAGGTGTATGTAAATCCCTGAGCACTGTTACAAGTGGGTGCAGCAATTAACACCTGTGAGAAGGATGTGACAGTATGAGTAGGATGTGCATAAGCAACATGTGAGATAAATTTTTGTCACCTTCTATGCTGATGATGGCATGTAATTCTGGTTTGTTTTAGGGTGTTTTTATTTTTTTGTTTTTTGTTTTGTTTTGTTTTGTTTTTTTTTTAATACACTTTGGATCATCAAGCTGCCCCTGCAAACTGGCTTAAGTACATAGCCCATGCTCTGTGCAGCTGGCTGTGGGTGAGAGAGCTGTCTGTGGAAAAAAAGCTAGAGGTGATAATGAGCTTGACTTTCACAGCAGATTTAGTACAACCTCTGTGTGCACAAGCACACCCAGGCTCAGTGCCTGCAGGCACACAGGTCACCTCCTGCACCGGCAGTCCTTGGCATTAGCAGTGGCTGGATGGCACCTTCTCCAGGATTGGGGATTTTTTCCTCTTCTTTGATTTCAGAATTGGGAAAATGGAGAGGAAGGGGAAATGTAAAAGGGGGTGAAATAATGACATCAACTGTAAGCTCTGAGCTTCTTTTAAATGATTGAAAAATAAGCAATGCATGGGGAAAGAGCTACACAATCAAGTAAAAATATACAGTAAATGGATTTATGGACTGCTCTAACGTGAAAGGTCATGGGTTAACCCCCCAGACTCCCCAATTTCCATTTCCTGCATACCTTGCTTCTCCACTCCATGACCTTGGTAATCACAGAATTATTTGGGTTGGAAGGGACCTTAAAGACCATCTGCTTCCAACTGCCCCGCCACAGACAGGGACAGCTTCCACTGGACCAGGTTGCTCAAAGCCCCAGCTAGCCTGGACTTAAAACTTCCAGGATTTAAACATGTGCCAGTGTCTTACCACCCTTTGAGTGAAGAATTTCTTCCTAACATCTGAATACTTCTAACACAAAAACATCAAGATGCCATCAAAGGTTTAAGGGTGTGGTGTAAGATAAGATATGCAAATTAAGAGCAGCAGGACTCTCTAGCCAGTGTTTGACATGTTATCAAAACTATACTGCAGTCTGAGCAACGTGACCTATCTTTATAAGCAGTTTCAAAGTTGGTCCTTTCATAAACCAGGAGTTACAACAGAGACATTGAAATAATATTTGTGATACTCTGGCTTCTAAGTAATTTTGAGCTCTGCTTTCACTTCTGTTAGCATCTCTTTATGTCACTTCATTTCCTAGGACTATTTCACCATTTCAGACATGTAAACAAAAAATACTTTTTAACAGATGGGAGCAGAGACCTTCTGAAGTACAAATGCATTGGACAAGTACAAGGGTTTAGCATTGGTTCAGAGGGCTGAAGCTCCCACCCTTTCATGCCCCTGATGTGTTTTACCCTGGTGTTTTGTGTTGTTTCAGGTACACTTGTTACACCACCCCACTCAACCATAAGACCTGGCTTCCCTGTCCCAGTGAACACCAACAGCCCCGAGGTCCGCAAGGCCGCTCGCTTTGGGGTCTACAGGTACAACAACAGCTCCAATGACCTCTTCCTGTTTAAGGAATCACAGATAAAGAAAGCCATGGTACAGGTAAGAGCAGCAGGCTCCTGATGGCTCTCCAAATCATCTTCTAACTGACCCTCCTGTGGCATATCCAAGGCACAAAATCCCTGATCTTCCTCAGGACTGCTAAAGCTGTCCCCTATAGCACTGCTACACAGGAGGACTCTGTGTAGGTGACACACAGTTCTCAGCTGTAGCACTTGATTCCTAGCCAAAGTTTGGGCGTCTCTTTCCCCTGACCCACTTTAAGCGTCTCTTTCCCCTGCCCCACTTTAAAGGAGGAAACTGCTTTCTCTAGATAGTCAGAGGGCTGAAGTACATGCTTCACGTGGAAATCAGGGATCACCCCAGCCTGGACAGCTGTCACTTCCAGGGGGAAAAAAAGCCTACAACAGGTATGTGTTCAATTTATTTGGGGTGCCCAGGAACTGCAGGGGATTCTTGGTCATCTCTAGCTGTAGAATCCCTTTTAGACCAGCTCTGCCATGTCTCCATATGTGCACAAGCCTCTCCTCTGCAGAGCCAGCTGGGGTGAGGCCAGGTTATCGCCTTTCATGCATCCGGGGCCAGCTCCTGTCTGCAGGGAGCTGAACCAGACACATCCACCCAGCCCATATTCCTGGGTGACTGAGGAGAGTGTGCAGAAATAGAGTAGGTGCTCAAGAGATTTCCTGGGTGGGAAACACTTTACACAGGCTTTCCCACTAGACAGGATTACTTAGCAAACAGTACTTTTCCTAGGATAAAGTGGGCAGGCAAAAGGATGCTGTATTCTCCTGCCCCATCACAGCCTGCAATGCTGAGATCAACCAGCAGACACCTGAACTTTCTCACCTATTCCCCTTTTATTCACAGATGCTGAGATGCTATTTTGAGGTCTGGATAACACCCTGGACACACAAAGTGCATATCCCTGTTGCCCAATGTCACCAAGACCTTTCCCCATGAGAGCCTGACTTACAGAGGACCTCCCACCATGAGTTTTTCCTTGCCTGGACTGCCTAGGTCAATACTGAAGTGGGGAACAGCTGTCCAGAACTGCACAGAGCTTTTTTCTCAAACCACATGGTTGTTTTCTTCCTTGAGAAAGAAACTCAAAAGACAAGGCCTGCCTTGACTGAATGTCTTGCTATCCAGTTGTGTATCTGTTTTTCCAAAACTAAACTGCACATGAACATGTGTTGTCATTCATTTGCCATCCATCCTCTGGCTGAATTTCCAAGCACTCCCAGGAAGCTCTGTTGCACTTGTTTTGTGATGAACTTTCACAAAGCCATGATGGAAACAAGTCTAAACCACAGCACATGTGAATACAACACCTAGCAAAGCTTGACAACAGAGGGGTGATTTGCCTGGGTATACACACACACACACACACACAAGTTTTAAGATTTTCCAGTGCCAGGGAAATGGTCAGACACAC